GCACTTTTTTCCCCCTCAAAAGTAAGGGGAAATGTCTGTGTGTCTTATAGAGCGAATGTGTGTGTGTGCCCGACGCCCAGGACGCTGCCGGCCCGCCTGCACCACGTGGCATCACCTGGCCGGCACGCGCTGCTCCGCCCCCCTCCTCTGGTGCAGGTGAGAGCTGTTAATCACAGGTCGGTGTGTGTTTTCAAATGGCAACCCGTCTTTTAATGAAGCCCATGGGGAAGTGATGGGGAATGTGCCTGTGATTATCAGGAAGCTTTCCATGGATCCCTCCTCTAAAAACTAGGTGCGTCTTACGGTCAGGTGCGTCTTATAGAGTGAAAAATACGGTAAATGAGTTCTTCAATTTGTTAATCTCCCCTGCCTTCAAACTGTATTGAATGCAAAACTAAGTGCTGGTTAGGGATATCTTCCACCTACTGATTGAATATGGTGCTGCAGGCTTTAAACAGATATATTAAAATTAATTAATGATAATAATTTCATTTTAAAACCAAATAATTCTAAGGTGCACAGCTCTTGGGTCCCCTTAGTATTCAGGCTAGGTTTTTGGTATCTACTTTTTGCAGTCATGGTGCTATGGTGCTGAAAGTCACACAGATACCTGATATATAGAAAAATTGATTGATTGATATCCAAACAATAGTTTCCTTGCAAAATGTGAAGAATGGAAAGACAGCCCTATTATTGCCACTAATGGGCATACTTGAGCCCATTTCTGTGTTCTCAGGGGACACCTTATTTTGCAGATAGTAATTAGTAGGCTGGGTGGTGTTGGTCAGCTCCATAAGAAATAATTGCCAATTGGCTGTGTGAATTTCTGTTCTCGAGCACCTGTGTTCATAGTGTAGCTACTACTAGCTAAGTCCGACAGAAAAGTGTACCATCAAAATGTGGGATATCTTTTGCTTTTAACAGGATTGAGCAACTCTCCAGATGTTTCAGCCTACAAGTTTCAACTTCTGTCACAGTTAGCTGTGGTGGATGGGAGTTTTAGCCCAAAACATCTGGAGGAGTGAAAGTTACCCATCTGGGGTTACTACATGTGGGGCCAGATAACTCTCGTTGGAAACCTGAATCCAACCTCCCACCCCAGCTGCTCATTCCTGCTCTAAATCTACAGCAGCTACCTGAGTTGTCCACACTCTGAGTGACATGCCCCTTCACCCCTAATTCCCACTTTTCAGATGTCAAGGTACAGCACTGTCTGCGAGTGTGAGCTATTTCTTCATCTGAGGGGAAGTTTCCTTGATATGGCTCTCTAATGGTCGATTCCTCCACCTACCTTGCCAGCTTCTTTAGGATTTGCTCACATATTTGAAGGAAGGAATTATGTATAGTTAGAATTTCTGACACACAGAAGTGACATGAATGTGCTTGGTACATGAGAAACACTAGAAGCCCCCTTTGGTCAGCATCTGATATGCTTCTTGTCACTGGAAACATTCTTTCACAAAGGCGTAATCACTGCACTTTAGAACATATAAGCAATATTTATCTAACACAGCTGGTGGCTTCTCACCATTTCAGTAAAGCTGTGTGTCCTTTGAAAAATTCAGCTGGGGCCTTTTGGGATATTTGACTTTAAGCATCCAAATGTGACATTGCTGCAGGGGTTCCATATGTTTTCCACTATTTATTATGCATTGTGTTTATTTATTCAAGGACTTACATGCCCTGCCTTTCAAAGCACCCTGTCCTCTCAAGGCAGTTTACACAAAGTTTTAAGACCCATGGAAACAACAATTACAATCGCAATGTAGTCATTAATTTCAGGCGCAAGCTTGAAAGCTGCAGCACCTAAAATAGCTTAGTGGAAGAGCCCAAGGTTTGCATGCAGCAAGTCCCCTGGCATCTCCAGGAGAATCTCCTGAACTCCTTCCTGGAACCTTGGAAAGTCTCTTCCAGGCAGTGCCAACAATGGATCAAAGCTTGGACTTGGTGGAAGGCCATATCCTATGATCCTAACATTCTTCAAGCCTGGTACATTAATACATCAAACACTGACTGGGATAAAAATGTCTTCCAAATGTTGCTTAAAACCAGCAGTGAAGAAGCTCTACCTACATCCCTCTGGAGGGCTTCCACAAAGAAGGCCTCGGGCTGCTGCCTGCCAATCTAACAGTGCTCCTCCAAGCAGCACTTTTGTTTCAAGAAAACCAGCTATCCCCATTCTACAACTGCAAAATGCTGTTGCCAGGGGGGAAAGTGATCCCCTCATTCCCCTGAAAGCACTTCCCTTGCTGTGTGGACTGTAGCTGAGTCTCACTGGAACCCTTGGAAGAATGCCTGCAATGTCACTAGTGATAAATGACAACCCCTTTCCATGCCTCCTGTGTGTGTGTGTGTGCATTTACACACACACACACACACACACACACACACACACACTGATCGACTGATTAACTACCCCTTAAGATGTCACTCCAGTGTGTATGCATGTATGGGAGAATTCATCAAACCCTTTCAGCACCAGAAAAGGATGAACTACTGTCAAAGATATCTTCTGTCCTATCCAACACCCTACCATTTCTTCCCCTTTATTTTTGTTTTCTTCTGATAGATCACTGGAAGACTGTGTCATTCCATACTGAACTGCTGAAAGGCACATCTCCACATGTTAAAGTCATCAACAACAAACCCTCTTGTTCATGTGACTTCACTGCTTTAATAAGATGGAAGAGAAGCATATAAATCTCTTTGAGAGCCATTTCTCTGATCTGGATGAGCTTGTAGGAGGGTCATACCACAGCAAGGGAAAAATTGTGGCTGAGCCATGCTCTCAAGGATTGCCTGGATAAGACTGTCTAAATATCATTTGGAACTCAGCTTAAAGTCTTTTGCGAACAAGCTGAGATCAGAATGTCAGCCACAAAAAAAATGTTATTTATCAATCACTATAAGTCTTTGAGGATACCTGTCCATATCAGAGCACTCTGATGGAAGAAAACTGCTCCCAGCTGATTAGACTAAAATGTATTTTGCTCACTGATCGTTCTGAGTCTGAAGTTAAGCCAATGTATCTTTTGTACAAAACCTGCCCTTTTGGGTTGGTTGAATTTGTCTGGGTGGGAAAGGGCAGCCTTGCTCAAGCCAGTACTGTCCAGATGTTTTGGACTACAACTTCTAGTATACCTGGCCAGGGCTCAGGTAGGCTGGGGCTGATGTGAGCCGAAGCTCAAAATCCTCTGGAAGTGACTCAGGTGGGGAAGGCTGCTATATGGAAACAATATGTAATGGCTGGCTTGAATGAAATGCATTTTCAACCTTGAAATCTTGCTGAACTTAGCAGTTGGCAGTTCTAGAGGTATATTATCAAGTTAGTGACATGGTACACTTGCCTTTAGAACAACGTAAATGGGTCCAGGGGCTATTTCCCATGCCCACTGCCCTTGCATTGTGTTCCTGCCATGGCCATGCTACGAAATTTGGCAGTGGCATGGCACAAAGTTTGCAGCTAGTCCCTGAAATCTGGTGGCAAACTGCTACTGAGCAGTAAACGGGTCAAATGTCTCCATCTAAATTTGACATTTTAATTTCTCCCTACCAGTAAACTGCTGGTTTTCTGCCTGCTGCAAACTGTAGTGGCAGAGTGAGGCAGTGTGTGGTCCCTCCCTGGTTTGCAATGAGTCCATGTGCACCAAAATGTGCCAGCAGGTTCTGAGCTGAACGCAGAGGAGGGCGCAATCATGGGCATCGGGCAAGGCATGCCACACAGCCGTATCTCTGTTACCGCTGTGCCTCATACCCTGAATCTTGTCTGGATGGCTGGTTTTGGCTGCCTGGATTTAGGGCAGGCAGGGGGAGGGAAGGAGGCTGAGCTGCCAACTGGAAACAGCACAACTGTGCAGGCCCAGCTTCCTCCCCCTCTCCCTGGCACACCCCCTTTCCCCTTCCTAGACCAAGTTGCAAACTGATAGAGGGGAGCTGGCACAGCACCAGCTGTGAGGAGGGGGGGAGAGCTTGGCACCCACAGTCTGAGCATCAATTTCAGAGGACATTGGTGCTCAGATTCCAAAAACTCATACTGCCTCCCAGATGATGTCAGGAGACTATGGGATTATGCTTTTCCTCTTATAATTGCAACCTAGCACTCAGTATCAGACAAGAGCTAGGACTGGCAAACATTGCTGCCACAGCTGATACTTTTCTTTATTAACATGAACCATGCTGGATCAGTCCAGGGTCCAGCTAGTTCAGCATTTTGTTCAGTGGACAACTAGCAGCCCAGAGGAAACCCACAAGCAGCACATGCAAGAGCACCCTCCTGTTTTAAAGCCTCCAGATCAGTGGCCACTTCACTTCATGCGGAAGTGAATTCCATAGCTTAGCTATGGAGGGAGTCTTTCCTTTTATTTGACCTGAATCTCCCAACAATCAGCTCCATAGGTTGCCCCCACTGAGTTCAGGCATCATGAGAGAGGGAGGAAAAACTCAGCTTATCCTTTCACCATACCATGAATTCTGTGCATCAAATCCATTGGTCTTTTGCAACCTATCCTACAGAAATGCCAGGCACTTCATACATATTTAGAGCCATGCTGAAATAACATTACAAAATAATAATGAAATATTCCCTCTTGATATTATTTTCCTGACCCGCAGAGCCGCTTGTGATTTGGAGCTCCTGCAGTGTAGCTGATGACAAATTACATGGGTCCCAGTCTGGCAAATTTGTAACTTTTTTATTTTCTGACTGGGATGGTTGTGTGCTCCCCTACTGTGCATTGCAACTGTAGCATTCAGCCTGGGTTTTCATTTTTAAAGGAAAATGGAAAGAAAAAAAGCAAGCCTTCTCCATTCCTTTTTGCCCTGTCTTGGCCTGTCATGAGTCTGGGTGAACTTACAAAGAGAAGGAAATAGTTCCCAGCATCCCCTCTCACGCAGTTGTGTAGATGCTGGGTACTCCCGTATTGGCAAGGCTGACCCTACTCTTTGGCAGAGTAATGCATGCTTATTTCTTTAATGTATAATTATTATATTCGTATTGGCAGGGATGAGGAAATGTGGATCTGGGATCTCCTGCCCGTGTACCGCAGTTGCTTCCCCGGCTTGGCGTACTCGTTCTTCCTCTAGCCCTGAGTGGACAAGTGGGCACAGTTTGCTTCTCCATCTCGAGCACCCCGGTCCTTACTAGGGCTGGTACAAGCAAGTCCAGGTAGGGGTGTGCGTGCGTCTGCTTTTAAAATCAACAAGAATGGTTTGTAATAACTTGTTACTGGAAAAGCACCTATTCGATACTCAGCTAATTCCATCTCGCTGTTTGACAGCTTATATGGATTGCTAGGAGGTTTTGGCTTGATAATCATCCTAGCCTACTTTCTGGTGAGTTGTCCATCTTGCCTCCACTTGCTTTGATGTATGAGTGGGACTTGTGCATAGGGTGTTGAAAGACTCGGGTGCGGGCAGGCAACCTGGTGCCCTCTAGAAGTCTTGGACTCCCCTTCACAGAATCTCTCATTCAGCCACACTAGTGGAGTTATCATTCAAAATATCTGGAGGGCACCAGCTTGGAAAATGTGGATGTCCGGTGTTAGTATCTGCAGCTCATTATTTTTCTGGCATGATTTTATTTATTTAGGATATTTATATGCTGCCCTTTAACAAGAAGTTATTTTAACTGACTGACTTACAAAGACTTTTTGATCCAGCACTGCCTTGCCAAGTTAAGACTGCAGAACACTTTCTCCAGGCCATCTTCCAAAATGCAGACTTGTGGGGTGAAGTTGCTGTGGCCAGGAACCTCCATCCCTCTCCCTACCCTGCCCCTTTTCTGCTTAACCTCCAGTCGTAAGAGTTGGAAGGAACCAAAACATTTGTCTTGTTCCTTGTTATATTTTAGTCAGTCTGAATGATGCTGTTATCCTTCCGTTACTGTTGAGGTCCCCCCTTGTTTGACACCCACACAAGCACCATAGCTTATAATCCTTTCTGAGATGATGAAGTTGTGTTTAGTATTGCAAATCCCTATGTGTAGAGTTACAAATTCTTCAAGATAAATAAAAGTCTGAATTACAAAGCAGTAGGTGAATGCAAGCTAAATAAAGATTAAGACTGTTACTTTATGGTTGCTCCTAATTTTGTCAGTTTCGGTCTTGAGAAGCTGAATCTTGCCTGCTTCACGTTATCCAAAGGTTGAGAGGCCTTTCTTGAAAGGTCTGAGCAAAATCAGTTCAGCTGTTTTTTGAGCAGGGTGGGTGGGCTTAGAAAAATGCTTCATATAAAGACCCCTATACATACATAAAGCATATGAATTCCAACATCACATCCTCTTTGACTTGTTGCTCAGGGACTGCTGTAGTCTGGAGGAAAGCTGGAAGAAGATCATTTCTGTAGGTATAAACCTGTAAGACAGGGGTCTCAAACTTGCGGCCCGCGGGCCAATTGCCGGGACGGGCAGGGCATGGGGGAGGGGCCCTGCGGCCTTCAAAGCGCCAGCAGCGCCCGGGCCGGCTGCGAGATGAGCGGCCCACCAGCACCACGGTGGTGGAATACTTGATGCAGCCCAGCCTCACCCAGACTTCCAGCGGCCCCCAGGTAAGTTGAGTTTGAGACCCCTGCTGTAAGATGATTATTGCTGGGACTTTCCACTCCTCAGCTCCTCCAAATTGTTTATCTTATCTTCAATTTATGTTTGATTAGACACTCCTGGAAGCCTTTGACTGTAGTAATGCAGTGCCAGTAGCAGATTACCTTGTTGCTATATAGAAGGGGTGTGTGTGTGTGTACAGTGCTCTCCTTTGTACATTCTTAAATAGGGCAGAATGCTTCTGTGTTGGCTTTGCACAGCCAGCAAGAGGATAGATGTTTAGTTTGTTCTAGTTCATTTAAACAGAATGTATATCCTGTGTGACCACTATAGAAACAATGTTTAGGGTGACCTACAAGGACCGATATTGCAAGTTTTTTTTTTAAGAAACCTAATAAAAATATTGAAAACAAATGACTCCCAGCACAAATGTAGCAGGTACAGACAATCTACATCAGCCTAAAATAAGTATTGCGGAACAGTTTTTAGCTCCAGTCATAAAGAGCTGGTTGTGCACAGCAGCAAATGGCTTGACCTTGTGATGTATGCTCCCATCTATATCTTCAGATTTAGTTCAGTGAAGTCGAGAGCAGCAGCCATGCTGATGTGGATGTAGCAGATCCCCATATGGATCCACTTTCTTTTGCAAATAGGTTCCTCTTGTTCTGGGTTGCTTAATTTTGTGCCACCATTTCCATAAGCCCTCAGGCCTGTACCACTTGAAGCATCTATGCTGCAGTTCAGCCCTCCATGGCTTAGCTAAAGAACATCCCATCAGTTCCCAATGGGGGCAAAACTCTGAGATAAGCAGATGTTCAGTGTTGTAGCATAACCAGGGTCCACAGGACCTTTTGCTTCACAAGGACAATGGTATCATCTGCCATGCCCTGAAGTGTTATGCTAGTTGCCAGAAGGGACTATCCCAGGAACAATATATTGTTGTGAGCCATCCCTTTTTCAATGTGAATTCTATGGGGGTCTCTTGGACCTGAATGGTCAATGAGGGCCTCTTAGCTGTACCAAAGAGGTGCTCCTGATAGAGGTGAAAGCTACCAGGGCTGCTTTGTTGAGATGGATCAACACAGCTGCCAACTTTGTTGGACCCTCTTGGGAATGTGACTGCAGGGGACTGTTACAATGAGCAACTGCTCCTGAAAGTTTACCACTACAGTGCAGGTGGTTATTTGTTACATGTATATAATACCTCACTTCTTCTTGCAAAGGACTAAAAGTGGCTAGCATGGTTTTCCTCCTCTCCCTTTTTTGGCTCACAACAATTGTGGAGAGGGGTTAGGCTAAGAGCTCATGGCTGGCCCAAACTCATCCAGTGAGCTTTTTGGCCACATGGGGACTAGAAGCTGGATCTCCCCAACCCTACTCCAACACTCCAGCCATTATGCTATGTTGACTCTTACTTATCTCATACTTTTCATGGATCTGCACGCATGTATAACAAGGGAAAGAAAAAGCTACAAATGTATATCCCCAGAGTGAACTAATAGCACATTTTTATATCAATCCATGAATAACGAAGGGCAGGCCAGAGTCGCCTCCACCCCTGAATGTGCCCATACATGGATTAGGAAGGAGGTGGTCCTGTGATCCTGTAGGACAAGACTGTATTAGCGCTTGTCTACATTCTTGTAAAAGGTGACAAAAGCATAGTTGTTTTTTTCCTCAGCTCCATTTTGCCTGCTTTGTGCATGGAGACATTTTGCTGCAGAAAGCCCTTTCCACCTTACACCCCTGGAGTGCTTAAGTGGGTATTGTGCACACCAACTCCCACATTTGTGGACAACAATAATGTGCAGACTTGTGCTACTACTGTTCTTTTTTTCTGGCTCATGAGGGATTTTGTGACAAGGAGTGGAGTGCAGGATGGACAAGTAAGGATGAGAGTTTGAAAAAATGGTTAGATAAAAACTACTTCCAAAAGGAGTACACACAACCCCTCCTCCCTCATAGCTTATGGAAATCGGGTAAATTATGGCTTGTTATTATGCAAAACACAAAACCCACAAATGAAGTTTCATCTGCCATTGAAGCCATTTATTAGAAATGCTTGAGTAGGTACAAGATAAAGATTTGGTTTTTCATTTCGTGGCTCCAGAATCACTCGTGGAAATTAAAGATTGGAAAGATAAATATTTGGAAAGGTTTTGACTTAAAACTAAACAGGCAGACTTTTAAGCTTAGGTCTCTAGAAAGACGGGACTCGGTTGGGAAAAAGCTGCCAATTCCTTTCATAATATAAGGGAAATAAAAAAATAAGGGACAGTTACTGAGACTTTAGAAAGAATGCATTGTATTCACTGGAAAAGAGTTGATGAGATAACTCCCGCATAGTGTGGAAAATGTGCTGCTATGCTATGCTTTGATAGAGTAGCTTTATATATTGCCTGGATGCAGGATATATGCAACAGTATTCTTTAAAAGAGTTTAGATTGACACCAGGTCATTGACCAGCATTTCTCCTCCCTGAAAATATGTATTGCTATCTTGGGTTATCTTCACGGTGACTATCGGCTAGTTTTCTCTCTCTCACAAAATTGGCCTTCAAGAGATTGATTTTGAAAATGATTAATATCTCATCTTTCCATTAAAGTGCTCAGAGAGATTAAAAATAATAAAATGCAGATAAAATGTTACCTAGTTAAAACAAACGTCTCCACTAAAAGGCATCAGTTAATGACACACTTAAAAACCTACTTCAGAAAAAAATAGCCAAATACTTGCCTGACTGGAAAAAAAAAGACTTAGTCTGCTAATACAATGAAAATGGGTTAGCCTGCCTTCCTTGGCTAACATGCCAAACATATCTCTGTAGAGAAGGACCTGCTGAATATTGGAAGCCTGGGCAGTTTTACAGGTGAGAAGACAGCCTTGATGGTTCTCAGCTGTCTGTCTGAAGTGACGTTTGACGTTAAGAAAATGCCTGCAAGGAACTAAACCCCCGTGTTTATGGGCAGTACACCTCTAAAAGTCAGGCACAGAAGCCATACCATGAGAAAAGTCTTTTGCCATGGCTGGGGGCAACATGGCTGGCCTTTCCAGAAGCATCTGGCAGGCTACTGTTTCAGTTCTGAGGCTAAACAAGTTGGATCTTTGTTTGTTTCAGGTAGGTCAACCTACTTAAGTTCTGTACTTGATCAAAAGTGCCAGCTTCACATGTGCAGATTAGAGTGAGAATGAATGTTGTCTTCTTGCTGTCACTAAGTGTTGGATAGGCATGTGTGAATGCATTGACTTACCAAAATATTGGTGAAATAGTTGCTCTTGAAATGGATACTCCATATAGAGTTTTTCAGGGAGGGATCCACAAATAGCAGCCCATCCAGCTCCTTTGGATTAGACCCGCACAAGTTGCCAATTTAAGACTGTGACTGGCATTGCAACAGTTCACTGATGCAACTGACAGGTGGTAGATTTAGGCTTCCAAATTGGCAGCTACATGTTTTCTAAACAGTAGTGGGAGACCATTTAGGTTTTTCACATTGGGTGACATCTGTGGCTCCTTGATTAAACCAGAAATGGTGTTTTTCAAAAATTCCCAGATATGGAGGCTGAAATCACAGGGAAGAAAGGAAACCATGGAGTCATTTTTTAGTGTCAAGTCTTTGCCCTAGAAT